TTTAACAATCCGAAAACGTTTTGTAATGTAATTGTGATAGCCCGTTTGGCATTTTATTATATACCTTTTATAAAGGATTTGAAATAATTTTTTGTGATATATGGTATACAGCCAGCTACAGGAACTTAGTTTCCTAGTGGATTTTTAAAATTCTCAAATAAATATGGAGAAAACTATTCAAATTATAATGTACAATAATTTACCTTCACAATTAAAAGGTATAAGCATAATAAAAATAATTTAAAACTAAGATAAAAAATGTTTTTATATTTAAATACAAGCAATTAAAACAAGCAAAAAAGCAATAGTACAAGCAATTAAAACAATACAATATCATCATTTTTATTTATCTTTTTTAAATATAATTAGTTGTATATTTTGTAAACATTGTTGCATTTTTTAATGTACTCTTGTATAAACATTTAAATAAACAAAATTAAATACAAGCACTGAAGTCGTCCTTGCTTTTATACATCAGGAGTTAAAGAAGTTTCAGAAATGGCCGATCTCTTAAACCATGTAAAGTAAAGCTAGGATAGTCTGCGCAGATTTTGAAAAAATAGCACAAATTTTAAGTTTTCCAAAGTTTAATGTAGTTTAGTTTAAAAGAACTAAATAATAATAAAGATCCAGGACACGACGGTATAATTGCCGAGCTCTTGAAAACAAGCAAGACATTAACAATCCCTGTACTAACAGAGCTATTTAATAGATGTCTCCATAATAGCCAGATCCCTAAAGACTGGAACGAGAGTCTAGTAATACTCTTACACAAAAAAGGGGACAAATGTGATCTACAGAATTATAGACCTATATCGTTGCTCAGTCAAGTATACAAACTATTTATGAGAATTATTAATAACCGGTTAACCTACAAAATGGATAATTACCAACCGGTTGAACAGGCTGGCTTCCGCAAAGGATATAGTACATCAGACCATCTAGTGACAATGAGAACATCGATAGAGAAGCCAAATGAATACCAACTACCCGTATTTCTTGCCTTCGTCGACTATGAAAAGGCGTTTGATAGTATCGAGATGTGGGCCATAGAACAAGCTATTAATAATTGTAGAATAGACTCGAGATGTAATCAACTAATACATGATATATATGAAAATGCAACTATGATAGTACAACTAGACGAAAATACAAATCCCATCCCCATTAAGAGAGGAGTGAGACAAGGAGACGTAATATCGCCAAAGCTTTTCAACTTAGCCCTAGAAGAAGTGGAAAGAGCAATGTTAGGTATACGACTGTCAGATAAAAAGAGGAACGACTGGGTAAGATCTAAAACAAAAGTGGAGGACATAACAACAAAAATTGCCAAACTTAAATGGAGCTTCGCGGGCCACACTGCTTAGACAGAAAGACCAACGTTGGAACACTACAATATAACATTGGAGACCTTACGAAAGTAAACGACCAAGAGGAAGACCACAGATGAGATGGGTTGATGACATTAAAAGAATAGCTGGAACAAATTGGAAATATGTTGCTCAGGATGGAGACCGATGGAAGGAGTTGGGAGAGGCCTATGTCCAAACATGGACGACAGAAGGCTAAGAAGAAGAAGAATGTGAAAATGTGTTACTTGGGGTTGTTTGGGATGTTAGCTTTACTAATTAAAATACCTCAAATTAAAAACTCTTATTATTAAAAAAATACATGAGATCTAAAAAAAAAGTGTTTTTGGGCAATCTCTCCTAACCGGGTAGGTGAGATTACACGCAAGGGTAGGAGAGTTTGCGCTTATTCAAAAAAAAGTTAGTTATTTTATTTGACATGACATGGATTTCATTTGAATTTTAAGTTCGCATTTCTTGACAACCACAATTTATACATTTTTGTGGATAGAGTGTGCATAATTCATGCAGCCATTTTTGGCAGATGATGCATTTTATCCAATCTGATTTGGATGTGGTTTTAGAATAAATCTCAAAACACTCTAGGCATGATTCATCGTCGCTTTCGGACACGTTATCAGAAAGAAGTTCCATTTCAACTCCGTCGTCTTCTTCCGAGGTTGGTGTAGATTCAATCTTTATTCTTTTTCCTTTCAGTTTATTATATTTGTGAGCTATCTCTTTATTTTTATTCTCAGTGACTTTTTTCTTTTGCGCGATTGCCAGTTTTTTATTTCTTTTAGATTTGATATAATTTGGATCAGTGATATTCATTGCAGTTATTTTGCTTTTGACTCATGATGCTGTTAGACTGCATAGAATTGGTGATATTTCAGTCAAAAGTTTGTTTGGTGTTATGTCATCAGTTTTTGAAGTTGTAAGCTTGGAAGTTGAAGGTTGATAGCAAATTGATTCTGGAGAAGAATGGGCCACTTAAGATGTAGTTTTAGAAGTTGACGCAGCTGAAGAATCGGGCGGGGTAGACTAAGTTGCTTAAGAAATAATTTTAGAGTTCGAAGGAGTTGAAGAAGCGAGCATAGTAGACAATTCAATTATTAAAATGGATGAGTCTGTTCTTGGTCACAAGCAAATAGATAAGCATGCTGTAAAATGGCATTTATGTCTAAAGGATGGATACTTGTAGCCTGGAATGCTGTAGTTGCAACTTTATTAGTAGCAGAACGGGACCAAGCTGACTGTAAAAGTTCACCAAAGTCCTCTCTTGTAATTCTTCCAGTCCCACTTCGTCTAGTTACTAACTGCTGACAGGCGTCTTTAAAATAAGTTTTGAAAGGCTTAAATACTACCAAAGGCTGAAGGTAATGTGTTGTATGGCTGGGGAGATACAGCGGAATTATATCATTGTCTGAAGCATGTCGGAGTTGCTTATGTGCGAGGCATGTCCATCAAGTATGAGTAGGTTTTTACCTGCGGGTTTACGAGGTATAAAATGGGTTGTGAGCCAATCCAAAAATAAATCATTGCTGATGTATGCATCTTTCCTCATTCTAATTATAGTACCAGATGAAGCTCCTTTTGCATATTGAGGTTTGCCATAAACTCCTTTAAAAATGCAGTAAGGAGGTAAAAATTGCCCCTCTGCATTGCAACATGCTTATATACTACTAGTTTCTTCTTTCTCGTCACTGGTGACAACATGAACATCTTTATTGCCTTTAGCTGCAACAACTTTTTTTGGTTCATTATTAAGGTAAACTTTCCAATTCCAAATATATATTGGTTTAAAATGACAGTCAAGATTTGATTTCACGTACAATGGGTCTGTGTATCTGCTTATACGTATTTCGCCCTAATAGGGCTCATCAGAACAGCTATTCACAGGCCTTCTGAACGTGAAAATAAATCTTTTCTGTCTTAAAAAACAACTCTAACATTTCTTCGTATAGACGCAAATAGCGACATCTGATATTGGTTTGTTTGAAAGATCATTACTGGTTAAAATGTTAGCCAAAAGAGTAAAATAATTTTTTACTTCCTGACGATTCATTCCTTCGGTTCTGGCTTTACTTATTCCTTGTGCTTTTTGAACACTGAGTTCTGGATGTCTCCTCATAAAATGTGTGTAATGCTATTTGAAAGCTTGAGGAAACAGTTTCTATATTTTAGCAAACCTAATCTAAGAGAACATTTATTATATACTCAATGAGTGTCTCCTTTTTTGCAATAACGACAATGTCCTTTACTATACTCTGACAAGAAATTAAAGAGGGTAACTTATAAATGTAACATAATATAGTAACTGCACGAAGTACAAATCAAATATACTGTTTACGAATAAGAGAATTAAAATAATATCGGTTCACAACATTTTGATAGCTCCCCATACATTCTTGTTGATTAGGAATCCATTACCGCCTGCTCTACCCGTTGATATTCCTTGGTAGTAGAATGTGTTTTCTTCTTCTTTCCGTCTGCGTTGATTTGATAGCAAGCGGCAATTAACTTTGTTGTTTTATTTGGGTAGCGGTTTAGACTCACCAGATTCTTAGCCATTGCTCTCCTGGCTTGATCCCGAAAGCTACTCATTAAGGGACTTTTTGGCCTAAGAGGAATGAAGGCCATGATTTAAATGTGTCTTTCATATTAATGGTTCTGAGACGTACCTGAACACGCTTCCTCAATTTAATTCAATATATTTCAATCAATAGTTTGTGAGATAAATCTCATAATGTGGGAAAACCTCATTTCTACCCCCTTCTACCACTAGAAAAAAAAGGTGCGTACAAGAAAATGTCTTTACACTAATCATCCTCGTCATATATCTATCCCAATAATAGGCGATTCCTCAATAAAATTGCAACTATGAATTATTTTTTGAAATCAAGCTTTCTTTCGTCATCTTATCATAAAAATACGTGTAAAACAAAAACAAACATTTATTAATACACATTTTCGCAAATTTTACTAGAAAACTTACCTTAACTTTGTAATCTTTGGTTGTGTTTTAGATATGGATTTTCAATCTTCTTTAATATACCCCCGTTTCAGTAAAGATCTGTCTCCCTAACCGCTTTGTATAAATTAACGAAAGGGTTATTCATTTAATTGCATTTATGCTAATTAAATCATTTTAAAATGCAGTTCTGAATGTAGAGCATCCTTATTATATTGGAGAATATTTTGTGTTGACCTTGTAATAGAATACAGAATACTTGTGACAAACGGTATTGGATTTCTAATCAACAAGAAATAGAAATGAAGAGCAGTAAAAATAACTAGTATCTCATATCATTGTAAAAGAACTATTCAAAGATTTTGTGCTACATACTTTAAACAGCGGGGTGATAGGTATGTACATGGACTTCAGACCTGATCTATTTGGTTTTCTGTTTAAGGGGTAGTTAAAACAAAATGTTCACTTCAATAGATCATATTAATTCTCTTGGTAATAGTAACCGAATTAAAAATAAAGCGATTACACCCCACATAATTAGAAATGTCATTAATTAATTTAATCGAATAATAATCGCCCATTTAAAAGGACAAGGTGAATATATTAAAGTTGAAGTTAAGTTGTAAATAATAATAATATTTAATAGTTGTTTTTAAAAACAATATTTTTATTTTCAGGTGTGTTGTGTTACTAACTCTACCCCACTTTTTCTCCGAAAGAGGAAGACAACTTCTTGTGGCCTATGCTCTTTTACTTGTCATATCTGGTCCTGCAAAAAATACATTAAACAATCTTGGTATATTAAGTGAATCGTTGGCATGTGGACAGGTAAGTTTTTAAAGCTAATAATAAAAATAATTAGATGTATAGGATCAAATATTTAATTAAATTTTCGAATTTTAAAACATGAATGTAGCTAGCACCCATTATATCTTCTTTTGTGTTACTTTTGTAATTATTTTAGAAACTTTAATGTATAAGAAAACCTATAATAAGACAATCCTATCCTCCAAGGAAATATCCTGGAAAGAATTCTATAAAAACATTGAAAATATACCTAACTCTGCCAGGGTTAACAGAATTCTTAAAAGAGGTAACACTAAACTCAAGTGAATAAACAAACTTAAACCCAACTGGCTGATTTTTTAACAGATATTTAGTTCTGAGAAGGTCAGATGGGTTATTAAAACTTTTGAACCATATAAAACTGTACTCTACTTCAAGAGGAACTTAAAATAATTATGGGTAGCCGATCCAGATATTTAGAGCTAGCCATGCTCTGGGCTACATACCCAAAACTTAGAGAAGTACATGGGTGGCTTTTATTCCTAAACCAGGAAATACAAATTACACCTTAGCAAAATCATACAGGCTAATAAGCCTGACTTCATTCATATTGAAAACCATGAAAAAATCTTGAATCAAGAAAAACAATCTTAATAAAAACCCACTACATCAGCGGCAACAGGTTATCTTCGACTTCTTTAGAACAAGTGTTTAATGGTCAAGAGTTTTTGTTGAGAAGTCCATTGACTTTTATTCTTTGGTGGAAAAGGGACACTCGAGTAATCTGAAGTATTATAAGTACCCCAATCCTTTAACGTGCAGAACTAGCTACCGGTGTGCATTTTGACAAACAAGTAATAAACTTTGAAAATTAAGGCAATTATATCGAGCACAAGTATAATCAAATATTGCCCAAGTACTTTCGCTTAATATAACATCTTCAGGGGCATTTCGTCAAATATGGGCTATCCAGCAAGCGTAGAATGTAAGATAAAATTGTACAAACACTACACTAAAAAAAGGACAAACAGTTTAAAATTAATTAAAATAGTTCTACGCTCTACATTCTTTGGCGGTAACAGGAGAGAGATCATTCTCTCGTAAGAGAGAGTGTATTCGTAATGACACACATGTACAAAGGATGGAAATGAAAAAGTGGGCAAAGCTTTCCATAAAAATGTAGCATAGCTTTCAAACAGTAAAGAAATGAGGAGATGTGGAGCTTTGAGCTTCATAAAAGATTAAAAATCAAATATGAAAGATCTGATAAACGTTATCTTGTTCCATCATTACCAACGACAGAACAAGAAGCATAAGTCAACATAAAAAGATTTAATAGACTAAAAGGTAACGTTAAAAAATAGGAGATGCATTAAGTGGTATATAACTAGCAGATAAAAATGTTTAAAACTTTCCTGGAAAATCACAAAACACACTGTGATGTAGCAAATAATAATACTATAAAAAATGGTGAACCCTAACTTCATTTCTACGCGATCGCAGCACCAAACAGACCAGAAACCTTGGCATTTTATATTTTCCAACTATTCCGTAATCTTAGGAAGGAGGAAAAACGCATATATCGAAGGAAAAAGCGGACCTTCGAAAACCAGATTATGCAAGAGCTTCAATCATTAAAGGGGCAAAATGAAACTAGAAAGTTCTATAATATCCTAAATAAGACAAGAAAAGAATTTAAACCACGGCTGACGATGTGTAGAGGCAAAAATGAACATATAGTCAGTACCGCTGACGCAGTACAAAGCAGATGGGTTGAGCACTTCAAAGAACTACTTGGTACCGAAGTGGAAAATGATGCGTCACCCCAAAGACCAAGAAATAACACTCACGTAGAACCTCCTTCAATATTTGAAGTGAAAGACGCAATCACACAACTCAAAAATAGCAAGTCCCCAGGAGTGGATTGTATCCCCGCAGAGCTCATCAAACATGGAGGTAACAGCATTATGCACCAAATTCACAACATAATAGTCAAAGTCTGGGAAGAAGAACAAATGCCAGAGGAATGGTGCACTGGAATCATATGTCCACTACACAAAAAGGGAGATTTGTTGGAATGTAAAAATTATAGGGGTATAACTCTTCTGAATACAATTGTAACGATGAGTCCAAGCCATCACCGTTAAACCAGCGTGCGCGCGAACCAACCCATGAAGTAGGAGTGTATCGACAGTAGAAAGGGCAAAACTTTGCTATATAAACCGCATTATTTCCTCATAGAGGCAGAATCGTCAGGTGTTGACTGAAGGTTCTCTTCTCCCCTACCCCGGCTTGTGGACGTGTTGAGTTCACAAGTTGTTTCCGTTCCCTACCGCCAGCCGGAGAGCGTGTTGAGCTCTCCATTACCCGTACTCCGAAGCAGTCGTGTTGAGACTGTCGAGGAGTGTCCTATTAACCCGAATCACTTGAGGGACATGTTGAGTTTCTTTCTTTCCTTTGTACCTATCGTCCGCTGTTATTAAATCGACACATCGTTCACGTAAAATTCCGAAAACACACTTGATTGCCGATAACACTAATTTCATACGACAAGGTCAAACTTAATTTGAATAAATAGGCCAGGTACTGAGAAGACTAAACTAAATTGTAAATATGTACATAAGATTTTTGTCAATTTAATTTAAGGAAGACAATAAAGTTTTATTTTTATTTTGAACTCTGTCTCTGACTGTCCAAAAGCTACCCGGATAGTGACTCCTACGAGAGGACGTCACACAATGTACAAAATATTCTCCAACACCCTGTACAGCCGTTTAAGTACGTACGTGGAAGAAATCCTTGGTGAGTATCAAAGCGGTTTTAGGCCAGGTAGGTCAACAATTGACCAGATTTTTGTGCTACGTCAAATCTTAGAAAAAACCAATGAATTAAATATTGACACGTTCCATCTCTTTGTGGACTTTAAGTCAGCGTATGATAGCGTCCTAAGAGGTAAATTATACGAAGCCATGAATGAACTTAACATTCCCTATAAATTAATAAGGCTCGTAAAAACAACTATGAGTAAAGTGATCTGCAGAGTGCAAATACATGGCGATATGTCACAAGCATTTGAAACATATGCAGGGTTACGGCAGGGAGACGCGCTGGCGTACCTTCTCTTTAATATAGCGTTAGAAAAGACTATAAGAGATGCCGAGTTACACAATAGGGGAACAATCTTTAATAAATCAACGCAGATTATGGCTTACGCTGACGATCTTAATTTGATTGCACGTACTAAACGAGGACTTAAAGAGATGACTTCCACCTTCTTGACAGCCGCACAAAATATGGGCCTTAAAATAAACGAGGAAAAAACCAAAATGTTAGCATCTATTCCAAATAACAGAGATAGAGCTAGAAACGCCGAACAAAATTTTCAGTATAGACCAATATAATTTTGAGGTAGTAAATAAGTTTACATATTTGGGTTCTCTCATAACAAACGATAATGACACATCTGAAGAAGTTAAACGGAGGGTACTGCTAGCAAACAAATGTTATTTTGGACTAAGCAAGCAGCTAAAAAACAGAAATTTAAGCCAGAAAACCAAACTAATAATATATCGAACACTCATCCTACCAGTGCTGATATATGGGTCAGAAACATGGACCATCTCCAAAACAGACGCAAATCTTTTGCTCCTCTTCGAAAGGAAGATACTAAGAAGAATAATGGGCGCATTCTGTGAGAATGGTATTTGGAGAAGGCGATATAATTTTGAATTGTACGAGAAGTATAAAAAATAGTAAATGGTAGAGATGTAATATCCTTCATAAAAATAGGTAGGCTTAGATGGGCTGGACATGTGTCAAGAGCAAATGAAAATTACCCACCCAGACGAACTCTATTATCGGTCCCAGTGGGAAATAGGAGTAGAGGCAGACCACGACTGAGATGGAGGGACGGTGTGGACGAGGACGCAAGGAAAATCGGCGCGGCAAATTGGCAACGGTTGGCGATGAACAAAAACGACTGGCGAAATAGACTGGGGAAGGTCAAGGCTCAACTAGAGCTGTAGCACCACTGATGATGATGAACTATTCCTTAATACCCTTCTGTTATTAAAAACTTTATAAAATATTTCACAAAATAATGGTTTTATATTTTTCGGTAAACAGTTGTTCTTCTAATAACAAACATTTGCCATAATTTATAGGAGCAACTTAAAACTGTCGTGAGACAAATAATTGAAGTCATCAAGAAACCATTTTACGCACTTAAAGATGCCATCAAGAAGGTGATAGAAACTGTCAAGAAGATAATAAAGCAAATTAAAGAAATTTTGATAAAAATAAAAAGGATCGTAATGAGTATAGGTAAGTGGTAATATTTTTTATAAAAAGCAGAAATAATACTAAATACAATAATGTAAGTTTAAAATAATATTGAATTAAAGTTTTATGGTTTATGAAATTGTAGGCTTCCACGGCCAGAGTCAGAATTCATATTCAGAGAATAGTTTATTCGTCTTCCGGGTTTGGACCGTGTCATTTGTGAGTGACCCAAAAGTGGGTTCATCTCGACGTTTCGCTACAATTGTGTGTAGCTTCTTCAGGAGAACAAAGAAAAAGAAAAAGAAGACAGGAAGATGGGTAGTTAGCAACGGTAACTCAGTTACTCAACGCAACCAGAGGCGAATACTAACTACCAAGATGGGCATTTGGTCACAGTAACTCAACTACTCAACGCAGCCAGAGGTGAAAACCAAATGCCAGGACAGGGATTCACGTCCAACAGCTCAGAACACTAACGCGTCGAGAGGCGGGGAGTGAATTGTTATAGGTTTTTAATCGAACTTTCGAAGAGCCCTCAGGGAAGTGGGTAAAAGAATGATTATATCAATAAATCAATAAATTCTTCGAGTGTTACTTTTGTCTTTATTAAAGATTTCTTTTTCAAAATCAATTTAAATCAATAGTTGAACAATAAAGTGAAAAGGCTAGTTAACAAGTCATTATTATAACCACTGCAGTGGGGTTCTAATTACAGTGTCGTACTAATAAAATTGAGAAATTTAGTGTAATGTTCGATTCTACCAAAATTAAGAATAAATTTACACTTAGCTGTTAGAAAGTCTATCTTCTTGAGTTCTGGAGACTCGATCCCAGGTGAGTACTTAATATTTATTATTGTTATTTCCTTTAATAATCCGATGTTTTAGGTTCTTTCTCTCTTATGGACAATTGGATACCATCCGATCCTAACTAATATGGAAAACTGATAGCCAATCCGTTTAGGAGTCACGAGATGATAAATATTAGTTGAAAAGATGATCAAAATGGTTTGAGAGAGTAAAATAAAAAAGGCCTAAAAAAATGTTATTATGTTTAAAACGTAAGTAGTTATTTATTTTTCCAAAAGAAAACCTACCTTTGTTCAAATGTGGCCTTAAAGTGTTTCTAATACGAAATCAGTTTATAAAATCGAGTTTCTTTTAGTTTTAGAAAACAAATCCACACGATAGGTGATAATTGCTCAGCTTCTCACTGCTACAACTATTAAATTTTCGGAAAACTATCAAGAAAACTCTAGAAAAGCCGCAAAATTGCGTTGTAAGTTCTACACGAACCAATACTTTTTCATACAAAAGACCACCAAAGAAAGGAAAAGAAAAAAATTAAAGATAAGTTTTTTTAATCTGGCGCCGGCCATTGTCCAGTAAGAATTTATTTAAAATAAGTTGTTGTACTACCAATAGGATTGAGATCTGTTTAAAATTACAAGAAGAAGAATTCTATCAAGCTATTTTTGACATTAACCTTTAAAATAAGAAATAGGTTTTATGGTTTGTTTATTTTTAATTCAAAGTTTATTATTCATTTAAATTTATACTTATTTTTGTTTTAGGCTGTACAAAATCAAGGAAAGAACGAATAGATCATCTCAGAGACCAAATAAGACTTGCGAATGCATTCATTTTTTTTTTAAATCTTGTGGAGTTGTTAACAATTATTTAGGCAAAAATAAAATAATAAAACTTTATTTCAATAATTTATTCTGAATTCTTTGGACCTGTAACAACACCCCCCTTTCCTACAAAAAGTTTCTACGAAACTTTTAATTTGTAATTTAACAAGTGGATAAAACAAAAGTAGATCTTTTTTTTAAGCTTAACTAATAAAAAAATAACTAATTTTCATCGCTATCGTCCGGAGGCTTAGATTTTAAATCTTTAGCATTCCAGGTACCAGCATGAACACCTTTCTCGTCGATAAGTTCGTAAGTCCATGGTGAGACGATTTTCCCAATAGAGAAGGGACCAACAAACTTTTGCGCTAATTTGGCGCTGAAAAACTTAGACGCGTCCGACTTCACATAATTTCTTCTCCAGACCATATCACCAATCTTAAATGTTTCACTGCGATGTCGCAAATCGTATGGCTTCTTCCTTTTCAGGTAGGCCGACTTTAAACGTCTTTTAACATCAGCAAACAAATTCTCTAAGGCTACCTGCTTATCCTTTACGTTGGTGACTACGTTCCTTGGGAGGTTTTGCACATTTTCGTCTTCTGTGCCCGTCAAACGAATTTCTCTCCCGAAGTTTATTAAATTTGGAGTTACGTCAGTCACTTCATGCTTGGAACATCTCATAGCACAGGTGATTTTCGGTAGAATCTGGTCCCAATGACGCTGATCTTCCGAGACATAGGCTGTCAACATGGTCTTGATGACTCGATGTGGCCGCTCTACCGGATTTGCCTGTGGATGATACAATGCGACATATTTGATCTCTACCTGATAATTTAACATAAGATCTGAGAAGGAATGACTAACAAATTGTACACCATTGTCAACGATAATTTTCTTTGGTACCCCATATACGAGAAAAACTTCGTTTTCGAGAATTTTAGCTATATTTGTGGCAGTTGCAGTTCGAAGAGGATACGCTAAGAGGTACTTACTAAAACAGTCTAAGACAGTTAAAATAAAAGTAAAGCCTGTGGTGGTTCGTGGTAATGGTCCTACTAAATCTACGCTAATTAACTCCCATGGACGGGACGCGGTTGGTTGTGCAGATAACATTTGCCCTTGGGGCAATTTTTGCTCCGGTTTAATGCGTTGACAAACCATACATCTCCGTACATAGCGTGCTACATCTGCGCGCATCTTAGGCCAGTAAAATTTTTGAGTTATCCTAGCGAGGGTTTTGGTAACACCTAAATGACCATAAGTAGGTGGATCGTGATGATCTTTAATGGTTTGAATTCGTTTGTCTCGTGGAATAACTTCTAACCATTCTGAGAGTCCTAAATCTGGATACCGCGGCTTGGTATTTTTAAAAAGTTTATCGCCTTCCACTGCCCACAAAGGGAATTTGTCAGGAGCTGCGTTCACTTTGAATAGCATATCGGAGTACCACTCGTCATTAGATGAAGAAGTTGTCACAGAATCGATGGAAGGAGTGACAGCTCGTGAAAGCGCATCGGGTACAAGATGGTCCTTACCTTTTCTATGGACGACTTCAAAGTCATAAGCCTGTAATCTTAAAGCCCATCTTGCAATCCGTCCCACAGGATCCTTTATGCTGAACAACCACTTCAAGCTATAATGGTCCGTGATTACAACAAACTTAGACCCTTCCAGGTATGGCCTTAATCTCTCCACTGCAAAAAGCACCGCGAGGCATTCTTTTTCAGTGGTGGAGAACTTTCTCTCATTTTTGGTGAGAGATCTGCTAAGATATGCTATCACATGATCGCCATCCGGATGACGTTGGGAGAGAATGGCTCCTAAGCCATAATCGCTTGCATCTGTCTCCACAGTAAATGGAAGATTGAAATCGGGGCATGTCAATATTGGTGCAGATACTAGACACTGCTTGATTTCACTTAAAGCTTTCTCACATAACACATCCCAAACGAACGGCACGTTCTTCTGGGTCAATCTCGTTAACGGAGATACTAAATTAGAGAAGGACGGTATAAAAACGCCTATACCAGGATGCCATTCCAATGATTCTCCTGACTTCCGCTACCGTTCGAGGAGTTGGAATTTTTAAGATGGCATCAACCTTATCAGGATCAACTAAAAGTCCCGATCTATTAATGACATATCCGAGATATTTTAATTCCTGACGACAGAAAACTGATTTTTCTTTATTTAAAATTAATCCCGCTTCAAGAAGTCTGTGAAGGACCTTTCTTAGGACCTCGATATGTTCCTCGAAGGTAGAGGTACATATAATTATATCGTCTAAATAGACAAACGTATGTTTATCCAATTCTGGTCCTAAGATAGTGTCAATTGCCCTCTGCCAAGTAGCAGGAGCGGAATGAAGACCAAATGGCATTCGGGTGAACTGAAACAGACCCCTATTTGGGACTGTGAATGCCGTCAAAGGTCTTGAATCTTTGGCAACTGAGATTTGGTGGTAAGCACTTTTAATATCCAACGTAGAGAGGTATCGTGCGTCACGAAGCTTGTCCAATATGGCACTAACATAAGGTATTGGATAAGCGTCGGGAGTACTTACTGCGTTGAGGCGTTTGTAGTTGACACAAAATCTCCATTTCTCTTTTTGTTTAACCATGACGATAGGTGATGACCAGGGTGATGATGACGGTTCTACTATGCCCTTGGCGATCAGGTCGTCCAATTCAGCATTGACCACCTTCTGCAAAGCAGGTGATAGCGGATAATATCTTTGCTTTATAGGTGGTGACTTGGTCCGTATCACATGTTCAACAAGAGTCGTATGTCCTATTTCCTTATCTCCCATGATGTCAAAAGCTTCTTTAATGACATCATCAAGCAATATGCGCTGTTCTTCTGTCACAGATTCAATATCCTGAATACCCGAAGCTTGGACGAGGTTCACTTCTTCACTTTTCCTAAAATGCCATTCTCCATTAAATAAGTCAGGAACAATATCCATTTGTGTCCAGAAGTCGATCCCTAATATTAGTTTGTGGGTTATGGATGGTACGACAAGAATGTCAAGGATACGTACTCGATCCCGTAACCTAACTGGAACAGACAGAGTACCGATACTCTCGCATGAACTACCAGATGCAACAACACAAGAAATCTTTTGAGTAGGGTCAATTCTACATACATCTTTAAATATATCGAAACCAGAACTACCCATTATTGTCCGTGTTGCTCCACTATCTAGTAATCCCATTATTTCTTTTCCGAGAATAAAAACGCTCAAGTACGGCCGTTGGTCGCCTTGCGCATGAGCCAAGATAAAGTCCAGGACTGCCATGTTGGTAGAAGAAAAAGAAGAAGAAGAGGGGGCCGATTCCTTAATATCCCCTGCCAGCCGGCCTACTGTGCAGGACGTCTTGAGTTTTTTGAACAACTCGTACAGGAG